GGGGGTCCCGGCTGTGCGGGGCCGGTCCGGGAGGGGGGTCCCGGCTGTGCGGGGCCGGTCCGGGAGGTGTTCGAGGGGCTGGTTCTGATTTTGCGGGGTCGGTTCAGGGGGGAGGCCCTAGTTGTGTGGGGCTGGTTTGGGGGCTGGTTCTGCTCGTGGAGCCAGTTGGGGGGCCTGGTTCTGATTGTGTGGGGCTGGTCCGGGGGGGACGTTCTGCACATGGGCCCGGTTTGGGGGCTGGTTCTGATTGTGTGGGGCTGGYTCCAGGGGGCTGGTTCTGATTGTGTGGGGCTGGTTCCACGGGGAGGTTCTGCTTGCGGAGCCGGCTCAGGGGGGTTGTTTGTGGCGTGAGTTGTGGGGCAGTGCCCACACCTGGGGATGGGGGTGGTGGTTGTGGGGCTGGCCGTGGGGCTGAGCAGGCAGGTGAGCCTCGTGGGGGCGGCCATGGGGCTGGGTGAGCCGGGAGGCTCCGTTCGGAGCCGGGAGGGATGTTGTGGAAAGCGTCACCGGCAGCTCCTTGTCCACAGGTCTGCGTGCGGCCAGACCCGACGCCTGTTGGTGTTCAGCACGCTGCACTCCGACCCTGCTCCAGCTCCGCTCCAGCTCCGCTCCAGCTCCGCTCCAGCCCCGCTCCGGGAGGTGCTGCCCAGGAAGCCCCAGGTAGGGTCGTGTCTTGCAGCATCACTGCTGAAATCCAGCACCGTCCTCCCCGTGCATCGCTGAGCGCTGGGGGAGCACTGCACTCTCACAACTTGCACTTTGGTTTTTCTCCGTTCAGATGCCTGCAAGATTTTATTGCAATAATCCTAATGCACCCCAGTAACCTTTGGGAAATGCAGGGCGAGAGGGGGCCTTAGTAGTTGGATGTGCGTGAACAATCACAAGGGGGTCAGGGCAGATCCTGCCTGTACAATGTTAAAGGCATTTGGTTTCATCAAAAACAATTAAACGTTTGCAATTAAAAACATACACTGACTTGGCAGCCCTAAAGGAGCAGGAGGTAGAATCTGTTTAAAAAGCATCTAGGCAAACCCATCAGACTTTCAAAAACAACATCTGGCAGCAAACACTGCAACAGTGCATTAAAGGAGGATCATGGATATATACAGTACTTTAGTAATAATGTAAACAAATACTTCCTAAATCCTAATCTGCTGTTTTTTGTTTTGTTTTTAAATTTAGAACTTTTTTTATAATAATAGGGAATTTAGTTACTGATTTTTGGCCATTTGTGATTGATTGCTTTTCACTTTAGGTCTGTGTTGTTTTTATTCTGGCTTAAGCAATGCAAAATCATCATGTGCACATCATAACTGAGAAAGGAACCCTACTTGCATTGGAGTGTCCTCTAGCCTAGAGAAAACAGCATCTCCCCACAGAACACGTGTGTAGCCCCCATAGYCGTCTGGTGCCAGTGGCTGCTGGGGAAGGATCCTTCACCTCTGCAGTCACAGACCTGCTCCCTTCAGGTGGAGCTTTAGTGACTCCTGAGCATGGAACAAAACCTTAAACGGGACATCAAGACATGCTTGAAACATAAAGCAGCATCCCTCCGTAATCACTGCAACCTCTGGAATGCAAAATTCCCACTTCCAGCTTTGTGCAGTGTTATTTAAGTCAGGAGAATTTTTCCTCTGAAAGAATAATAGTCTCATAATRTTTTAATATTTTTTTTAAATGTGGTACCTTTTGAAAAGTTATTTCACAGAACCTTTAGGCACTGTGAAATTATAGGCACAGAACCTCTGAACATCTGTGTTTTTACCAAGTTTTTCTTTATAGTTTTTCTTTTGTACCAATAGCATTATTTAATGATACTGATTAATTTACAGTTGTCACTGATCAGCAAGTTTTAGGATACACGTTTAACTCATCTGTGTGAGCGTCGTGTGTCAGTATTGCATAATCTGTTGACTGTCCCCTCTTTATGTAATGTATGTAGTTTGTTTTTAATACGTACGAGTATTTTTTTTCACTGCGTGCTTCGTTTCAGAAGCTTCATGTTCGTCTCTCCATTGCCCTCTTGAGTTCAAAACCTGTAAGGCACCATTTTGGGAGCAGCTGGATGCTGTTTAGCTATTTAGTTAGATGTTATTTAGTGTCTCTTTTGAAAGCAGCCTGTCTAACCTATCAGGATGCAGGTTTTTTTTTCATTTGAGTTGTTTATTTAGAGTGTAGAACAATTTTTTTGGAGTTTTTGCTTCCTCCTGTCAGAAGTGTGAGCTGTATCAATGAAATCCACCATCTTAAATACAATGTTTGAAGGCCTAACAACTCATTAATTTTCACTTTGTAAAAATTTTCACCTTGAAAATTTTGCTTGTTCACTGTAACACTTTGTTTGGGGGGGGGGAGAAGAAAACACATCCTCTTATTTCCAGACTCAAATTTGTTTGTTTTTAGCCAAGAGGGGGAGAAACGGTGCCATGATATTTATTGCAATGAATCACAGAAAGGTTGAGGCTGGAGAGGCCTCTGGAGATCATCTAGTCTAACCCCTCTGCTCAAGCTGGGACACCTAGAGCATTGTTTATTTAAATCTATACATATATATATGTGAGTGTCAACCTATACGCTCCCCTTAATAACTTTGTAGTGCAGTTTCTTGGTGAAAAAGCTATTTCTCCCCCTCTTAAAAGCMCTTTGAGCTGCACTGAGGACACCGTCCCGTCACTGAGGTGCTGCTCACTACCCGGAGAGCTTGTTGGGCACTGCCCTCAGACACGAGGCCCCGTTGTTCAACAGTCATCCCGTTTCCCTCGGCAGCGGCGCGTGGAGTGATTCCCGTTGGAGCAGCAGCCGGCAGGAGGAGGCAGCGGAGCCGCCGCGCGGCCCGGCGCTGTCGCAGAGCGGGCTGCGATGACCGACAGGCTGCCCTGGCTCAGTTATCACAGTGCTGATGCTGTCTCTTGTAAAGGTACAGTACTGTGATAACTGAAGGATGGCAGCCATCTGAGCTTCACGGCGCGGAGCGCTCGCTGCGATGCCCCACGCAGCTCAGGAGGAAGATGCTCTTCGCGAGAGCACCCCTTAAAAGAGAGGGGGAGAATCGATAGGTAAGAGACTTCAGTTTCACTTGAATAAAAGTTATGCTTCATCCCTACTGAGTTTGCCTGTTAACTCATTTTGGTTTGGAAGGTCGTTCAGAAATGCTGTGCTCCGAAGCAGGGGGA